TAATTAAGTAAGTAAGTAAGTAAGTAATTTAGTTATTTAATTAGTTAGTTATTTAGTTAGTTTAAGTAATAGGTAGCTATCCCCATGCCGAACCCTCCTCTTTCTTTCCGAGCTCATGACCGTCATTAACCCTATTCGCAGGATCATGTATGCGCGCATTGATGACAGAAACACTGCTAAGACAAAATGGACATCCAGCAATTCTAGAGGTTATCTAATGCCAGTCTAACATTGATCAATTTATGCCTATCACTAATACACAAATTCATATTTTGAATGGCAAAACTACTTACTACCTAGATGGCAAAATGTATTTTTCAACTTCATTCAAATAATCTAATTTTTTTTTTAGGTCATTCAATGTCCAATAAGTTATGTGTGTTTTGACTTCTAGACAAACTACTTTTCCCATCATAATACTTAAATAAAGACACTTAAATATATATATATTTATAAAAACAAGCCTTATATACAGGTCTTCTTATACAGTGTGACATTTGTCACACATAAACAATAAATCAAAACATCCTTGTCTATAAGCATCGTTTTTGTTATCACAAACAATTTACCGGTGATAAAAAAATATGTCCGAGATTTATCTTTGTTTGTGTGTGTCTGTGTGTGTACGTGCATGCAAATGTGATTCATCATTCAAATGTATTCCTCACCAGTTGTTTTCTGTCTATCAGTGAAATCCACAATCGATCAATGCTGGACCACCATTAGAAACGTGGAAGTGCTGAATGGCTGTTTTTTTTCAGTGTGAATCCACAACTCCGCAATTGGGGATCGAACGTAAAACGTACGGTCTTGAGTGCGAACGCCTGACCTCTAGATCAGTAAGTCAGCATCCGACAGTATTATTGTCTACTAATATTAATCAGTTCATGATTTCATGTACACACACTAGTGACTAGCTTCGTAAGGAAATTCTCGTAGTTCTGATGGGAAGCTGTGACAAGCGGAGTTCAACCCTGGCCGGTGCAAGGCAGTTATCAGACAATGGATGAAATCACGTAATATTGTGAACTGATTCAAGTTAGACACTGACATCATTGGATGCCAACACAATGATCGAGAGGTTAAATGTTCACACGTGAGACCGAAGGTGCAGGTTTCTTTCGAATGGAGATTTAACCTTGATCAATTTATCATTTCAATAGAACTCAACATTCTCTACAGCCTTATCATGTTTCATGTCTAGTGTGATTGTGAACAGCCTCTTAGTTATTGATTTAACAAAGTTATTCAAAATCATTGTGCGTGTGTGCGTGTGTGTGTGTGAGTCAGTGAGTGAAAGAGGCCATGTTTTTCTCTTTCATCTACAAATAATTTACAATTACAGACGAACAACTATTCATCAAAGTAAATTCAATTGGACTCTGTTTCTTTTTTCATTTACTAACTAAGCAAGCATAAAAATGTATCTGGAAAAAAAAATCATTTTCCATTGGAAATGAACCAATCACATTGGAGAACAAGATTTTTAAATAATTTTTTGCGCGAAATTTAAAACCCTTCAATACAACATTGAATTAACATACTATTATGAAGTAGTGTTTAAAAGGTTGGAAATTAATTTTAAAAAAAACTCTTTTAAAATGAAAAACAGATCAAAATGTGTTATATATTTTTTTCTACAGATAAAATCTACAAATCAATAAGTTGGTTTTTATAATAGGGTTTTCTTTTCACAGTAAACTCATTGGATTGTTTCTATTTACTCATCTATATGGTTATATTGATATATCGTTATGCCTACATATGAGTCAGTTGTATAGTGGAACTTAGTATGTACAATACATCAGTTCAGGCTAAACCCGAGATTAGTAGAGGTTATTGCAGTAATAATTAATCGATGGTTACAGACCTTGAATGAAATGGCTCAAAATCGTTCGCAATGGCCCCTGGTGCATCCACTCTTTGTGTTCTCTCAAATCCTAATCTTCTGGATTGTTCAACACCTCTACTTTTGACTTTCTAAACTTTTCTCACTGACTCATACTTCTTGAATATTATCTTCTAATCCTAACCTCTCCAATTACTTCTAATACATTTACTACCTTTTCTACTATTGGATTTGAATTGACAATTCGATCTCTCTGTGCTGATGTGGTAATGGCAACATGAACTGATGTACTTACGTACGAAGTTCTACGTTGCGTCTGACTGATTGAATCTCATGGTATCAGTCTCATAGGCTTCACATCTAATATTATGCATACATGTCTTCAATAAATCTACAATATCAAAAGACAATCTTTCATTACTTGAAATAGATAACTGTTTCACATCTAATATGGTTGTGTGGTGCGCGCTACTTATAAGTAGTATATGACGCGAGTGTAAACGTAATGTCTGGCAGCAGAAGATGGGTGAAGATCAAGAAAGGAAGAGTGGGATCACAATGGAATTTGTATGAAACACATGAATAGTGAAATGTCAGACAATGGATTGATGTTGTTTGCAACAGGAACAGTCCAGTTCGATATGATAGATTGGTATTTTGCAAATTAACGATTTACGATATGGTTTTTCTACTTTACCAATTAACTCTGTAATCTGAGATAAGTACAATTCGGTTGCCCTCACCTGTGTTCTCTTTCACTACAGTTGAACTCTTTGTAACATACTTTTATTATGATTTCTTCGTGAAAATCACTCATAACACTAGTAATAATCAGCACGATAGTTTGATTGTACTTCAAATAACTATCAAAATGAACTCGTTTCATATTGGTTCGTCATCCATCTATTCAAATTTTACATGAATTTTTATGGCTGACTTTGAACAACAATTGTTCTTGTGAATGGTCAACATGAAAGTTGATATATATTGAGCCAATCAAAAATGTGCAAAATGATAAATGTATGTGATTGGACAAGAAATAGCATATATATCTGAGGTATGTAACATACTCTATCGGTGGATTTGTAGTGCCTCCACATATAATGTTCCATTTCGCTTACATTTAATTTGGTTAGGCCCTTTCGATTAATTTGTTTAACCAAGCAATTTGGTAACAATTTATATGTACCATTCGTTCTTATTATTGTCTGGTTTGTATGAGGAGCTCACATAACGTGTCTCCCACTTGTCATTTGACCTTGTCAACTATTCGTCGCTTTTATTCATGTGTGCCTATTTCGCTTGTTGCATATTTGTCTTATATTTGTCTGACTATATATTCTTAGTCACGCTCTATCTCAGGGAGTTGGCTCATTAGCCTTTCTCCAATTCACGTTGCTTCATTCGTTTTATTCACTGCTTCTCCGCTTTGCTTTGTGTGTGTCCCAAATAAACGTATTCAACACTACGAGTTCACCTTCTGATTTATAAACTGTCAGACGCTAGTTAGTAACGATTGTCTGGATGAGCTAATTACCGAGCTTAAGAACACGCAGTAAATCAGCACACTACAGATTAATTTAATCAAGTGATTGTAAATTTCTCTTAAACCTCCTAAACTCAAACCCATTTATAATCCGTTCTATTGCACAAACTTTTTTTTGTTGATTGGTTTAAAAAAATTGACTTCAACAATTAAGCGGTCAATTTAAAACGTACTCATGTAATGCATTCGAAACCTTACTCTTCCAACTCCTAGTTTCGTTTATCAGTTTGTCTTGACCTGTTATGCCTGCATGTAAACACGTCAACTTGATGTACTTGAACTATTACGAGTTTACCTATTCGGAAAAACGAGAGCGAGGATCGAGGATCCGGCGACAGGACATGCTACTCTAATCCAATAATCCCAACCCCCATATTGAGTGAAAATAAGACAAGACTTGATATGAAGTAGAACCTGAATTCTACAAGCATTCAGAAAGTACGAGGTCCTAGCGCAGAAGAGAATCAGGATCCCGGACTAGGGATCCGGGACCAAGCCCTGGTCCTGGTTGTGGTCATAAAACGTTACAAATAATGCGTATTTATACATTTTGGTCGACTAGGAAACAGCATCGAATTCTGTGACATTGACAGTTAAGACGACTAATAGGAAGCAACATTTGAAGTGACATTGATAGTCAGGACAACCAATAAGAAACAACATTGGAGCACGTGACACTGATATCTAGGACGACCATAAAATTGACCAATAGGAATTGACCAATAATTCTCTTAGGATATTGGATGAATATCCTAACGTGACCCAACACTGGTTTTATTTCTGATTGCTGTCTATTTATTCCTCTATTGCATGTAAGTGCATCATTTCATCTACTTACTGAGTCGTCGACTAGTCTTTCTATCATGTTCTTCCTTCTTCCAGATAATCTCACACATACTGCTCCTCACACACCACCCCCCTCAGCACACAAAGCACCTCCTGGCTAAACGCAAACCAATCAAAGGCTGAAGTTACACTCAGGTGACTTACACTAACACCTTTGGATGCCGACTCAATAGTCAACAGGTTAGGTGTTCGCGCGCGTAAGACCGGAAGTCCTGAGTTCGAATCCTGCGAGTATAGCAGGAGTAATGAATACGCATTACCACTGATGAGTAGTCCCATACCAGAACGAAACGGCCATCTTCCAGTGCTTACAAGTTTCTAATACTGGTTTGACAATGACTGATTCACAATCTTCATAATTCCGTAAGGGTAAAATTACAAAACAAGACGATAAAAGAGTACAACATTTGAACAGATTCAACCAACCAATATACATATGTATATATATATATTTGCATTACGGGGTTGTGAAGATTGTTAAGTTACACATTTTTGAAACCATGAATCGACCAATGTTAGACCGACACTATTAGAAACCTGGAAGCACTGGACGGCCGTTTCGTCCTAGTATGGGACTACTCATCAGTGGCAATGCGTATTAACGACTCCTGCACCCCGCAGGATTCGAACCCAGGACCTTCGGCATTGTGCGTGAACGCACTAACCGTTTAATTTTATTAAACAAAACAGAAAAGAAATAATGTTTTTTTCAGATATATGTGTATTTATTAATTCAATACAAATGTTTAAATGTTTTATTTTCTGGCTTGTAGTATTACTGTTAATACTACTAATATTATTATTGTTAGTAGTATCAGAAGTATAAATGACATAGAATGTTGCGGGTACTTTGGGTAAAACGCTTCAAAAAATACCAATGAAGTCATTGATAATCGTGAATATTTTCAAAGATATATGTATATATATGTATATGTAATTCAGGGAAAGGTATAACTGGAAAAGAGAGGCAACTGATTGATCAGGATGTCTGTCAGTGAAGGCCAATATACCAACATCGACATACAGAATTATACTCAAGATAAACACACACACACACTGCATCAGTTGATCCGTGGTCTCTGTCATCATAATTCATATTTATATACACACATATACAACAGTGAGATCGTATTTTCTTTCAATCACAACCAAAACAACAATATTTTTGCAAGGCACAATGTGTTGAGAATAAATTTTTCATATACAATCGATAAATTCGATTACCCCAAAATCCATAAACAATCGTATCAAAAATTGCACTAGAATAAGCAAAGATACTAGTATACTGTAACCACCAAATATACACATCCAACTGTCGTAATGATTGTTTCTTTTGTAAACATGTCTCTTGTAACCATTGTATAATTAAAATCAATGATCTAGGCGCACGACATACGATGAATACCAACAATAGGATGATTAATATACGCAGTGTTTTTTTATGTTGTCTACGGAGAACTTGTAATAAAATTGAATCTTCATTTGTACGATTCAATGCCAAATCATGTTGACTACGTGATGGAAACAGCGCGGTGAATAGATCATTGGTACTTTTACGACGTTTTGGTATATTATTCATCATCGTGGAGGATAATTTTAAATTCGTTCCTGTTGTAGGCGATGTTGAGGTTGGCGATGTAGGGGTTGGGCTTGTTGCTGGTAACAATGAAATACTATTACTACGTTCATGTAATGCATAATTTTTTTCATTATGATTATTATGACTACTGATTGTCTTTAAATGAGTAGTAGTAGTAGTAGTAGTCGCAGTCGCTGTAGTAGATGATGAATATTGAAAACCATTTTCATTACGATCAATTAAAGGTACTAAAAGGCTATTTTGTTTTTCATGCCTTGAATGTTTTCCGGATGACTGATGATTATCAATATTATGATTGTTAGTAGTAGTGGCAGTGTCATTGTCAAAATCCATTCGAATATCTTGATGACTACTTTCAAGTACACGTAATAATGGAATAGGGAAATTAATGGTAGCTGTAGTTAATTTTCGTTGATTTGTTGAATTCACTGATGTAATCGAAGTACCTGACACAAATGATGATTTACTAGTGTTACTGGATTGTCTTGAAAAAAATCGTTTATCTCTTGATGCAACCTGGAATTTAAAAAAAATTTTGAAAGCAATAAAAAGAATTATTTTTTTTAATAATTAGAGTTATGGAGATTATGGTTTTTACACATATGAAGGTTAGGCGTTCTCGCGCAAGATCGAAGGTCCCAGGTTCGAATCCTGTGAGGTGCTGGAGTCGTGGATGCGCACTGCCACTGATGAGTCCCCCATACCAGGAAGAAACGACCGTCTTTCAGTGCTTACAGGTTTCTAAAGAATCATTTTCTCCCGTTATGGAATTATGAAAACTATTGATTTTTACAGTAGAATTACGAATAGTGAGTCATCGTTGTTAGACCAACATGTTGGGGGATGTTGGATCCTCGAAACACACTTGAAAAAGGTCCTAATTTTGGATTTTTCTAATGTTCTCACGGATAAGTTGCTTGGTTGACCTTAAGATTAAATTTCCCACTCGCAAAATCTTTGAGTGTTATTGGTTGGTAGATTGTTTTAGTACGCTATTTTTGTGACTCTCACAAGAACGTTTCTGTCATGTATAAATAGGCTCAATTTGTGTGCTTGTCGACCTTGTATTTTCTGGGTCCTTGTGAGTTACAGTTTCTACGACTTATCAAGACTTCCTCCTTTACTTAGTGGGTCCTTGGGACACTCAGATTACAGTAGCCTATCGTGTGACTGGATGATTTGTCTTCTCTTTCGTTTACCGACTAAGGTGAACTTGTAATAGTTTCAAGCATATCACATCATTACAAACCTGGAAGCACTGAAACATGACGGTTTCTTCTACGCATCCACGACTCCTGCTATACTCACAAGAATCGAACCCATGACCTTCGATCTTGCGCGCGGACTCTTCAGTGCTGGATAACATGTAGGATAATTTTATATTGATAATCAGACTAGTTTGTTATGGTCAATTCGGAATGTGGTATATGTTATATGATGTACTATGTTCTAGATTTCATTCACTTCTCTTAGAAAAATGAATCTATTTCTTGACTGATTATATACATTAGTCTTTTAATAAATTTCTGATGTTCATCAATTAACCTCATTCAGCCACTTCTAAGTGGTCTCTCATATGAGGGATAAGACTATACTATATTGTTAACGCGGTTAGTATCAAGAAAGTGAAATTTCCAAGTGACAGAACAAATTTAAAGTCCGTTATGAATACGCTATATAAAACCTGGAATATTGATCAAATTTGTCATAGACTAATAATACACACAGAAGAAATTGTAAAGATAAGTAC